CTGGCACTGAGTTTAAGAATTTTAAAATGTACTCGGCAAATAAAATATTCCAACATTGAAGGAGAGCCACTGCTTCCCGTATGGCATCAGTATGACATCAGCTCACTGTCATCATGTCAAGTCAGACAGCATGGATACAAGGGCTATGAGATAGGACTTTAAAACTAACTACTTTCATGGATACAGATGCAAGTTCTTGAACATCCCACATTATTTAAAAGGAAAGGTCACTAGTGGTTCTGACATGGGTATTTTTATGGGAGAGTCTTCCTCTGACCGTGGCTTACTTCACTGTTGATGTTCTAATTGTATCCCAAGTGTAATAAACCCTATTCATAAATGTATACAACATAAAACACAAATTCTTGTTATCATCATTATTCCTTTTATTTAGACATCATCAGAATCAGAATCAGAAACGGGTTTATTGCCAGGTAGGTTCACACGTACGAGGAATTTGACTAGGTGTCGTGGTGCATACATACAAATCAAAATCTAAAATGGTACACAGATAGCGAACTATATTAAGAACACTGTAATAAAAATATAGTAAGATAGCAATAAAATAAAGCAGTAATTTACATCGAAATAGAATGCAATAAATTATAGAATATAAAATATAAAATATGTGCAGTAAGCAATATTTAAACTTGGTCAATTATCAAATCCATGTTGCTATGAACAGTGGAAATGATGTCAGCCAATACAAATACAATACCATTACTCTAAGCCAGAGTGCAGAACAGTCTGTATATTTGGATTTATCTTCAGTGATTTGACTCTTGGCCAACACTGATTGAGCAATTCTAACTCCTGTATTGCTCACGCTCAAACTCAAACACCAGTTCCAGCCTTGGATGCCAAGAGAAGTAACATTTCTTGATCTAGCCTTTCCATTGCCAAGTCCCACAATGCCTGAATCTATTCCTGATCCTGTGTGTGTACCTTACAGATGGCAACTCCACAAGGGAGTGATCCTGACTGGCTTTTCACCTGCAATAGTAGCACCCCAACGACTTGCTACTCTGGGCTGGCTGTGCCTATTCTGAACAAGGTTGTCTCATGAACCAGTCAGAGGTGTTTTTATGAAAAGCCAGAGCTGCAAAATCATATTTTATTTAGTCCTTATAAAAAGGTGTAAACTAAAGCAACATAGCTTAGAAGCAGAGTAAAGGAACATAGCATGTACTAAGAGGATACAACCATCTTAATTGAGACTCTCATGGTAGTCAACAGCGACTTTACAGAATAGGCAAACAAATGTAAAAAGGGAACTGAGAAAGTGGTACAAATTAACCAAAAGCAGGCAACACAAGGAAATAGGCTGGAAGGCTATAGAAAGGAGGGAAATACAGTTAATCAGACAAGGACTAAGTGTTCACTGGAGTGTATACTACGGTAATTGACTAGTAAGGGGCAGGCATGCATGCTGGAGGCTAATCAGGTGAATGAAGGCATTAAATAAAAAACATTGAGGGTGTTAGCTGGACATGTGAAAAAGAGGCGCTAAAATGCCTGGAGGTTCATGCTAAATAATGTAACGGCATCTTAAGAAAGGGCAGCAAAACAACCTAAAAGCTGACGTGAGAGAGTTCAAAGATGTCTATATTTTCATCTTTTGTAATGTTGCGTTACCAACAAAAAAATAACTGTACTAGTTGCTTTGAGCATCTGTCTTTCTGGGTTTTGCTTGGCTGTTCTGGTAAATGTGTAACTGGAGAGCACAAGTGGGCTCAGTTCAGATCTTTGCAAATCTCTCCAGAGCCGTGTCATATTTATTTCAGCAGCCGAGTAGATGGAGATAGCTGCTGCTGCTGCTGCTGCTGCTGCTCAATAATAGATAACCATTCACTTCTTTAAAAAAAAAAAGAGAACCGCTCACTATTCATCGTTTTCCTTCTGAGAGTTCTGTGAGGAAAAGATAGGGGCGAATGAAAACAAGAGAACGGAACAGGGCGGGAGAGGGAAGAGAAAGAATCACGCTGTCTCATCTCCAGGATGGAGTCCGGAGAGCAAAACGCCTCACACCAGCAGACCAGTGTCGGTAAAAAGAGAGAGTCAATTATTCATCCGAGGGGTTATTGGGGGAGGAGAGGGAAGACAGATTTGTGTTGGCGAGGTCGTGTGAAGATGACTCACTTTTCAAGAGACATACACACACATTAAATACACATTTCATAAAGCATCTCCTGTTCTCTCTCTTAACCTCCTTCTGTCAGGCACATCTTGATGAATTCATGCCACCACGCCCGGTGCTGTGCCTCCACTAACACGCCTGGTGTCTGATACTGCTCAAAGCCATTAAGCCCTAAAGCAGAGCTTTTGGCAGAACGCACGGTATCATCCATAAGATATGAGATCTGGCTCGTTTTTTTAAATCTAAAGGCAATGAAACAATAGCAACACATATGGAAAGTATTACATTTTAAAAAGCAAATTGAGGATTGGCAACTTGCATATCAAAACCGAATTTAAATTATAACCCTAAGCCTAAGTTTTGTATTACATGGCCTCAATGTGTCCAAAAAAATAAAAAGCAGCAGTTGTATTTGAATGTTAAAACCATTTATGTTTTCATCTTTTTTGGCAAGCTGCCTTGCATTTATTTCACGCAACAGTCAAGCCTGGTATTGTGCAGAGCAAGGCCATTATTTCCAATGCAAAAGTATGGATATTTTGTCCTGCTGTGCAAGCCATAGTGGGTAACACTGTTATTATTCCGTATTTTGGTGCAAAGTTTACATAAAAGTAACTTTAATGTGTGAAAAATGTCAAACATGGCAGAATAGGATGATGGGAATACTAGAAATACTAGAAATATTATAACTGTTAACATGCCAGTGTAGCATCCATATTAGCTCCTATAAGTATTGTTCTACAACTTGAACAACAGTTGAAAATGTGGAAGTTGCTCCAAGAAATAATGTTATATCCGAACAATGTTAAGATCGCTGTATGTTTCCTATCTTCTACAAAAAGTAAACATCCATTCGTTTCAACCACAATGGTGATCTTGAACCAACACCATAATGTGTCCCTTCACTAAACATTGAGTTGTTAACCAGACCAAACCAGACCTTAAGGGCAATTGTTCCTAGTTTGAAAAAATGTAATAGAAAATGTCATGAATAGGAGATGGAGCAGGTGGACCCAGAAGCAGGAGACTGCATCAACAGGAACTTGCAGAAATGACTTTGAATCAAGGTTTTGAGCAGGAAACTAAACATCACAGAACAATGCAGGGATGCAACAAAGACTGATGTAAAAAAACATTTAAATACGATTCATCTGATGAAGGGATTACGGGCAGGTGTAGGAATGGGTGGAGAAGTGTAGGTGAGGGGAATGAGGTGATTAGTGAGGATCTGCAGAGGCAAAACTCTGGGAGCAAAAAGAGACTAACCAGGCAGATACACAGCAGGCGTGTAGAAGAAGAGAGAAGAAATACCGAAAACAGAAAACTAAATTTAGTCTGAGTGCACCTAGATACAAAGCCAGACTGTGACACAAAAGAGCAAAAATGGTTAAGCCCAAGAACAAAAACGTGTCATTATTCAGTGTCATGGTAATGTCAGTGTAATGTCAATAGGAATAAAGCAACATGTGCAAAGAGGACGACTCATGCTTGGATTTCTAACAGTTTTAAGACAACGATTATGCTTTACGTCTTATCCTTTAATCATAGTAGTAGTGGTAGATCAGGAGACTCATAACAGTTGTTCTTTAATGGACATTCAACAGGGCAGGTTCATATTATATGGCTAATTAGCGGTAGGGATATTTGACTAGAATGTTCTTGAACGCTTTAGTGTAATAAACGGAGAATGTACTTATTACTTTTCATTGCAGACTACAATTTGATTTTTGATCAACTTTGATTCCCTGTCACTTAGCTGCAGTTAAAGGCGTTATGTCAATTACTCTCCTAACTTGTATTCATGGCACTCATGAGCCATTTGCAGTAGTTCCTGTGCTGTTAATCTGTTTCATATGAATTGATGGGGCTCTCACGGCTCTGAATAATACACTGCAGCAGAATCCACAGGCTGTCAGGTAATGGCTTTCTTTTATTAGTGAATCTTTAAATGGGATTCAATTTAGCCCGCCTTGTGGGTTTTTGAGCTTTTGTAAAAATAACTTGTCGGCTCAGGTGTGTAAAATGTAGTTAAGTTTATTATATTGTCGAATACACATTAGCGGTGTCCTAAAGCACAGCTAGTCTTCCTGGGGTCCATATTGATCCTCAACGCTTAGGGGAACTGTAATGCGTCATTTAAAGTCGTCCTATTATATGACAGACTTTCCCATTTATACATAAATTATCAGTCATAGGTGTTCAAACATTAGAAACCCACTCACTTCAGCAAGATTCATTTAGTCTGCCGGCATGAAAGTGAACCTCATTATGGAGTTTTATTACTTTTCAGAATGCAATTGCCTTCCGTAATCCTCTGAGGAATTCATCGTACAGTGTGTCAGGTGTTTCAATGTTGCCTCCCGGTAGTGAACATTGAGTATTGAGAATTTTGAGAAGCCTCATTATTATTTTTAGAATGAATTAACAATACATCCTACCTTATCTGCCATGTCCCGAGTAGACTCCAATGGACCCCACTGTTGTATGTGTCAAATAAAAAGGTTAGTTGCAAAATCTACCATTTTCTTTATAACACCAAATTAAAAGATGTTTAAAAAACCAAACATGGCTTACCTTCCGTTGCCAAAGAATTCACTCTATGTCCATGTTACACTGGAGTCATTTAAAGTCCATAGAGGTCTCCCTGTCTGGCTTTCTCCAAAGATAACACTTCCTCTAAAGCTCACTAATAACACTATTTTCTTATGTACATAATAAAGACTTGTAATGTGTTGATGTTTGTATTATTATAAAAATAGGAATTGCTGAGCTTTAGAGGTGCTGACAGTCATATTATGTCAGTTCCTTCATCTCTTTCGCTCATCTTCAGATCATCTGCTTGTTCATTTATTACCAAAGATGATCAGCTTGATTGCTTTGTCTTCTTTATTGACAAACAGTGCATTGTAAATGTAAGACTCAGGAAGTTAACAGCTACAAACTCACACACGCACGATATACAAACATTGTACTGTACACGGAGGAGCACACACACATTATATTACACACACACACACACACTCACACTAGCGAGCACACACACAGATGCACGCATACTCACGGTATATTACAGCATTATAGTACATTACAGTGGGCTGCTCCAATAATAAAAGCAGTAACACCTATAACAGTTTCAGGTAAACAGAGAAAGGCAGACTACAGCTGATTACTGAGCTGTTCTTTTTTCAAGAGAAACCAATACATTACACACATACTGAAAACAATGGCAAGCAATAGGAAACAAAATAAATTAAAATTAAATAAAAGTAGAAAAACACTTTTTTCTGCATGTGTCCTTAGCCAGACTGTTTTAGTTATTTGATCAAACACTGTGAATGACCTAACACATGAAGAACACAATACATCTGCCATTTGTGGGTAAAGAAGACCTTGACGTTCACAGTTTTGGGATAAATGCTCTCCTTGAAACCCCCCATACCACACTGAAGGGTTTGTGTGATTTTAATGTACATCATCAGGAGATGCAAGTCAAAATGTTTTTGAGAAAACATGCATCTAAGAAGAAAAGTGAGCTGTTAAGTCAGTGGAGATACAGAGTGGAAGCAGAGTGAGTTGTACAGAGAGGCTTTAGCAGAAGAAAGAGGACGGCTGGGTAGAGCAGGGAGAGAGGGAGACAAAAAAAGAAAGAGTAATCTCTCCACACCCAGCCTCATTTTTATTCAAACACCAGTGTCGAGCTCTGCTTCACCCCCTCCTTTTCCTTTTTTCCCTTCTGTAATATTTCTCCTCTGGCCCCATCTATTCCATATTCCCTTTCACTCTTTCCCTCTCATCTCCAGGCTCACCTACCGTATCTATTACACCAGAGCAACAGGAGAGGAGAGAAGCCTCCAGAAAAATAAATGCCTTTAGAAGATGAATCCACCCTAAAGCACTTAGAGGCGGTGACACACCTCGCATTTCTCTGCCTATTTTGTCGAATATTGTTATTTTTTTCCCGTTCCGTGGTTAATTGGCCAGACACAATGTAACATCATGTTGTTATACGTCCACCACAGATACAGTGGATTCTGAATGGAGTTCTCTATCTTACACATCTGCAGTAAATGTCAGGTTTGGGTGTCAGTCCCTCAGTAACAGAGAGCAAGGGCTTACAGTACGTCTGCTGCCATTTGTACCACTATTCAACTGTCGTCCCCATTGAGAGGAACAGCAAACCTCCATTTGAGACTGTGGACACAGATACATGCTAACCTTTTTCAGAGCAGCACGTTTCCACAAAGGTTCCTGTAACACTAAATCCACAAGATTATGATTATGTTATGTACAAATAGAGGCATATTTCTATCTTTTCTTTTATAGGGGATATCCACCTTTAATTACAGTAGCTCAAAACAATGCTGTATGGGGATGTGAAGCAAGAGGAGCTCTTTGTGCATATAAAAGTCCCATTCCTTATTCTAATAAACGCAGGGATACTTTATCTTGGGTGGATTTGTTCGCTACCCTATCTCAAGAATACATGTGTTATTGCATCAAAAAAGGATTCAAGGCTGTCTAAAAATGGATTGTTTTAAAACAACTCTGGAGATGGCGATGAGTTAGAACGCTTGTTTCACTCGCATTCATAAATATGAGTTATTCAGGAGTGGATATTTGTTGGTTTAACACAAGGTAAACTGTAATTGGGGTAACAATGTTTATCAAATGAAAGGTTATTCTTCATTCATCTTTTTGCAAGCTCACATGCATAGGAACATTCATACATGATTTGAAATGGTTTCACACTACTTAACTGTAATCACAGATGGTGATAATGTACCAAGAATGCTGCGATGAACTAGATCAAAGTAATGAAGAACACTGGGAAATCAAATCTAACAGATATCCTGTGTCTTACAAGGATATATAGTTTTTGTGATACCTAAAAGATACAAACGATATGCCTTGGTGCTGAACACTGAATACATGCACAGATGCAAATGCAGTGACCATTAACAACAAAAGAAACAGATTTGTTGACATACTTTCCCAGTGTAAACAGTGTGATTTAGTTTGTAATGTAGCATAGCATGGCACACAGCTGATGTCTTAGAGAAATAGTTTTAAATCTAATACAGTGAAAAAGCACAATATATGTGCGTAAAATAGTAATGAATAACAAATAGTTGCAAAAATGTCAAGGATGGAGTTTCATTAGAAGCGTGGTGAACTAAAAACTCTCCATACAAAAAGAGAAGCACTTGAAAAGCTTGATGTCAAACTCTCCACTTTTAATAAAAAGGATTAAAAATGTAATTTAGCCGTGAACTAGGAGACGTGCTCAGGCATTCTGCACTGATATTATCAGGAAGCCTCTGAAATCATTAAGTTATATGTTCCTTTCTTTTATGGGTTGGATTTAACTTTTAATAAGCACTTCAGAAAAATAACATCAAAAAACAATTTATTTCAGGAGCGCTTATAAAGCACCTAATCTCGTATTAATCTGAGTATATAGTGCAAGATCTACCAATAAATTATCGCATTTTATGCAGCAATGTAAAGAAAGCCTCACATCCGTTTCCTGAGTTCTCCTCTCTGTTTGTGCTCAAACCAAGACATGTCATGGTATAAATACAAAGCGAACTGTAGATCATTCACAAACACTGACACGGGGTCAGGTAAGCACCCTCTGAAAGTTCACATCTAACCTTGGTAAATAGAGCAAAGGATAGATTAATCACACTTACAGTAGCTAAATGCAACATAATAATTGTATAAGCCTGTCTGGGATGATTGCTTTCATTTCTCCTGCATGACATATTTTTTAGATGGCGTTCAATATGAGGATTTAGGCACACTTATCACCTTGCTCTCTGTTAAACCCCCGATCCAGCGCTGTACTGTTTCTGCTCAGGCATTTATTTACAACCATTATGCCTCTGAACCACTGACACCCTCCCAGTTGATCTCAATACTTCCTCATAAAATGTTCAATAAGCTCTAGTTGCCGGGCAACAAATGCAATTTTCGGTAGCCCAAAAAAAGTGGCACATTTTTGGAAGTTTCAAATAGTCACAGACCTCTCAATGTCACAATGCTCCTAAATAAACAGAGTGAGGGCTGCTCCGAACATAGTGCTGTAGGACATGTTAGAGGTGAAACGAGTTGAAAGGAAACAACTTAATACTATCACTTCTTTTGTGTGCACGGCTCTAAGGGGATGACAACTCAAAATCACAACATCCAATCAGTGCTGCCGACTGGTAATCCTCGGGATGTGGGAGCAAACCCATGACTAGAGGTTTGGGCTGAAGGCTTTCTGTTGTTTCACAGCTGGTAATCTGCTCAGCGCTCAGATAAAACAGATTAGGCATTCTTGATATTACAGTGTGTCAGGACCGGTGCATCAAACCTCACATTTCCGCACAGAATCATGACAAACAAGCCTCTGATTCCCTTCTTGACCCCTCCAGCATTTTACTATCTTTTCCCGTTAGATCCCCTTCTCTGACATGTCTGTAAAATCAATCATTGTTGCGTGTAAACGAGTGTTGCGTAAAGGTTGCCGTCCACAGATGTGAATAGGTCACTTCATGTCATTTCATCTGCAATCTGACACAACAATATTAATCACTGATGTCAATCTGGAGGAAATGTGGCTGTCACAACAGAATCTAACAACATGGGACGTGTTCAGCAGCCAGAGAATGAAAAAAGGAGTTGAAACAAAGGCCCCTGCCTGCCTGCTGTAGAGCGATTACCATCTGGACGGCGGCCATACCGTCTTTGATAGAAATGAGATTTGTTTCATGCGTGAACAGTACATGAGCATTGGATGTCTGGTTTGTTCTTGTGTTGTATTAATGCCTGACTGGCAGTCGGCTTAAGTGTTTGCAGCCAAATCACAAGAACATTGGATGGGAATACCTTTTCAGCCTTTCAGGATAATCTGGCCACTGCTGTTTCTTCTCAACAGGTGCTCCTCAGCAGCTGGTAATGACTCAATATCCACAGTCTCCGAAGCTGCTTTCCTCTTCTCCCACACTCTCAAGTTGCTTCCCAGATAGGAAACAGACGTATAACACTGCTCTGGTTTCATATTTCTTTATCTGATTTTGGTTTCCTGGTCTATAATTGCCTTTACTCAGAGGGCATGTGCGCTGATTGTAAAACATCATCCATAATGAGTAACCTCTGAATTAAGTATTTTAAGTAGGCCAAGCTTTTCAAGCTCTCTCTGTGAAAGGGTTTGTCTTTTCTTGTGCTGCATAAAAAGGAGTAAAACACAGCAGCATGAAACCTATTTTTTCCATTTTCTTTTGTCTGCAGTCCACTTTAAAGTTTGTTCCAGTGATGAGTCAGGCAGAGGAAGATAATCATAGAGAGCTCACAAAACACCGAAACACAATTAATTGTTTGATGCTGTAGAGAAAGTGAAATAATGAGCAAATGGGAAATAAAAATCCCATATCATAATATGTACAGACTCTTCAATATGAAGATAGATTCCAAAAGTCCCATTTAACCTTTGTCTCTCGTCTGGATTCAAATTGTAGCAATTTTCACCAACACACTGAAGCAGTCTCAACGAAACGTTATGGAGATAAAACAGTCTGTGAGGGCTCTCCGGAAACACTGTTTCAAAAGACTCTTTCTCAGGCTTTTAGACCCGTTTGTGTTTCTGTATATCAATGTCAGTTTTCTCTTCACAGTAGCATGTTTGTGAGATTCATAGTCCTCTAATCATTGATCCTTGAATCAACCAGTCAAGCTGGTAAAAACTGATCCTCCACAGAGATTTGTGGTGAAAAGGGATGGTCAGTTGGGATTGTACCCATTACAGTGAGTCCAGACACTATTTTCTGCTTTTGTTTTTCCCTCTTGCATTTAGTCTTTGTCAGTTTACTAAAAGGTGTGAAATGGGTCTGTCCGTCGACTCGCAGTCATGAGGCCACAAAAACAGCCACAGTGATTTAAAAACATGTAGAGTGGTTTATATCCAGGAGTGGTGAACAAAAGTGAATGAGGGTAAAACAGACGTGTGAAGAGATGACAGCCTGCTCGCTCAGACTGTACACTCGTCAAATATTTCGTACTGTATCACTCCGCTGTGGTTACACAGATTCCGTAGGAGACTGGTCATCGATGTTGTGCCTCATCGACTGAACACTGGTCAGGATCTTCTTCTGGTGTCCAGCTAGAGCCACTCCGATCCTCTGAAGATCTCTGCAGAAACACAGACAGAGGAACAGATGACGTCTCATTAACATCATCATCATCATCATCATCATCATCATATCAACTTGGCTGCTTTTTAAATGAACTACATTTCATTTTCTGACACTGGGGGGCTCTTAATCCAACAATATTTTGGTGGCATTTCTGATCATTGGAGTTAGTCATTGCAGTCAGATTGTCTTGGATATGATTACATCGTGATCCTGGTTCAGGAGGTTTTCACCAGGGGCCAAATGATCAACATACATGTCCACTAATCTCCAAAACAAACTGGGTGAGGAAACGTTTAGAGACAATGCAATGCTACGTAAAAAATCAACAATAAAAAAGGAAATATTCACCATATGACTCTTCATAGGATCTACAATTAGCCAGAATGTGTCTGACAAAGTTCAGTTTTAGTGTAGTTCCCTGCAGTTATATGAAGGTTAAAAAAAAGAAAAAAAGAAAATGTCATTGTGTTGCTTAAATCTGTGATTTATCCATGGAAAGTGTTTAAAATACAGTCCACTGGCATACAGCCAATTTTGTATGCACTGATACTATGTGAAAGCATACTTAATTAATCCCTGTGGGGAAACCCATTCTCTGTGTTTGACCCGCAGTGCAGCGCACAGGGACAGACTCCAGGTCTGAGACTGGAGCCCCGGTCACAGATAAAGGCTGGGGCAGGAGACACATCTCAGCTCTCAGACAGCAGGAGGGATGCTAATTTGCCTCCTATGCAGGCTTGTTTAGGCATGAAAAGCCACAATGGACACACAGTTGAAAAAGCAAACTAAACACAATGCATACCTACAGTAAATTATACTTTATTATAGTAAAACTACCCGTTTTTCTTTAAATGGCACATGGTACAGGCAGAGAAATGCCGATTACATTTTCTTACTTTTAACACATTCCGGAAAAAAAGAGGGAAAAACACCAGGTTTGCCAGGTGTGAGAAATATCTGCAATAGCTTAAAAAACAATATCTTAAACATCATCCTTGAGTACGAGGCTTCTTATTGTTACGGCATATTTTATGACAGTTTATCAAGATATACAGTATGGTCTTTCTGGAGTTGCACTAGGTATTTTATATCACATTCAAAATAAGAGGAAATTAGATGATTCTGAGAGATTGTTCAGAGAGACAGACAGGCGTACACATGGACCAGCAGCCAGCCAACCAGCTGCCCTGCCAGTTGTCTGACTAACAAGTCAGACTTGGCAGGTGAACAGCGTGAGATGTGCTGGACTGGCAGACACTCAAAATCAGAGAGGCAGCAAAATGAATGGATTTACTCGGCTGTGATATCTGTGACGAGTGGCAAAGATGTGAAGCCGGAGCCCAGGAAGGAGTCTCTGTACTGGGTCATCTTCAACGCAGCCAGCCAGTCCTCCACGGAGCTCACGCTGCTCAGGTCTGGAGCCCCGCGGTCTAACAAGGGATGATGGGAAGGTCTGAAGGCAGTGGGTATAAACAAAAAGGCAAGGAGCCATTAGAAAAAAGGAAGAGTATAATTGTGTATGTAAATAATACAGTATTATTAATCTCTTCTCACGCAGGAGGGATGTTATTAGTGCCGGTTTTGAGGGATGCAGGATTGCGTATCATTTTGTCCAACATGCTGACGAGATCGGGGAACTTTGGTCGCGAGTTCCTGTCTTTCTGCCAGCAGTCCAGCATCAGCTGGTGCAGCACTACGGGACAGTCCATGGGCGCTGGCAGCCTGAAGTCCTGCTCGATGGCATTTATCACCTGGAACACAATGAGAGAGGGGGGGGGGGGGGGGGCAAAGAGACAAACCCACTGAGGATTAAAAGTAGACTCCCAGCTCATTGTTTCTGGATTTTATCATGAGTAGCATTTTCAGACGCAGAGGGAAGCTGTTTAAAGCTCACCTATTATGCTATATTTTAACAATATATTATAGGGCCATATCTATACAAAACATGTCTCTGAAGTGTTTTGCTCAAAATACCAAACAGATCACCCAATTTAGCCATGCCTCATACCCCTCTGTTTCAGTCCTGTTACAAAAGTGCTGATTCTGGGTCCGTAGCTTTAAATGTAACCGAGCTGCTGCTGGCCACGCCCCTTTCCCCATGCAAGCAGTGAGCTCTATTAAGAGAAGAGTGTTTACTCTACGGCAGAAACTCAGCTAAACGCTGCCATGATCAAACGCCATATTATGTTCCAAAGCACATCAAGGATTATTTCTGAAACAGTATGGAGCTCAAACACTTTCTCTCTTATATCCGGCTTTTTTACACATATCCTCTCCAGTACAGCGTTAGCTCTGAGTGTTAGCGATGCTTGCTAATGTAAACACAGACCATATTACTTCCAAACACTTTGCGCATCGTTTCTGATACAGCAACGTTTCTGATAGAGGATGATAGGTTGGGCCGTGGGCGGAACGGAGATGTAGTTAAGGAGGTAAAGAGAGTGTTGTATTTTCAGACACTTTGTGAGTCTCCTTACACACCGGGGACACATATTTATGTATAAAAGACATAAAAAAGTGCATTTTGCATAATAGGTGACCTTTAAGCTAAAAACAAAAGCTCTGGTTTAAAGAATGTTAATACCTGCTTAATGTAGCAAATGGCTGGTGAACATAGCGAAGCATACAACAAGATGTTTCCACAGATCCAAATAAATGCTGATGTTTCTTTCAATCAAATGGATGTGCAACTTCAATGTTAGCAACTGCCAGCACATGTATCATATATAACTTTATGAGGTGATGATATGTCAATGTGTTGATGCAGCTTTTCTCCACAGCCCCTCGGTGCTTTATGTTATAATATTAAAAACACAGTGAGAGGGCAGTAAACACATTTTACGGCTTCTTATTATATTACATTATATATTCTTTTGCGTTCCAGGGGTGATGGAATATGTTTATAATTTTGAGAGGGATTTTATCAAATCATTCAAGGATTTGACGCTGTAAAGTGATTTAGTGAGCAGAGTCTGTGGGGAACTATGGCAGTTTGAAACTGGATTCAGGTGTAGAGGAGTGTTGGCCTCCACCCACACCCCCATAACCCACACTTTTTGATGAGGAGGCAGAGAGGGAATAAGAAGGAACCTAGACTGCATCAACAGCAGTTTTGGAAATCTAACAGCCATTTTTCCACACCCTTGGGTCCTATGGTGGTATTCTACTGTTTTAGCCCACAATAAGGCGATGTGTTGTTTCTTATAATAGACAGAGATACTGTTAGCTGGGGCATCTACACTCTCATTTATTTGCATACATTTATGTACACTTCCCATGCAGTTAAGTTGGTCCAATATGTATTTCAGTAAAAAGAAAATGATCTTATTGACATAAATGGGACACAGGACGCACTTTCTTTCTGTGTGTTTCAATGATAGAGGGGACAAAATATTTGAAAGAGATGTATTTTCGTCATCAGACGTCAGTAAATTGCACAAACCATGGTTCTATATATTGCTCATTGCTCAGGATTTCAAAGGATTGAAAGAGGCAAACATATCCAAAGCTGAGTCCCAGTCTCTTGCTGCTGTTTAGGGGACACCTTATATCTGGAGTTTTGATTTGTGAGCTTCTGTTGGCAGAGAAGAGAGCAGTCTCAGCTCCTTTGTGATTTTGAAAGGTGTATTTCTACAGAAGAATCTTGCCTCGTTCAGCTTTAATTAAAAGCACAAAAAAAGAAGAAAACTTAAGAGGATTCCATTTCCATGTGAAAACTTCATCTTGACACAGCGTGCTGTCGCACAATATATCCAGATATTCATCGCTAAGCAGCAGTGACGCCTGCTGCAGTCTCTGATGTCGAGGCAGGTAGTTTTACACAGAGGAGCTTTTGATTTCATTATTCCAGTGCTTGGCTGAGAAAGATAAGGATTTGTCGAGGCTTTTCTGAGAAATCTTTTAGGCAAGAATTGTGTATTGCAGAGATGAGTGCAGAATGTAATTATCCCGAACATCATAGATTTCCAAAACTCCTTTGACTGATTGAGTAACTAGCTGCCTTAACACTCATACAAAATATAAAAGAAAGGATAAATTGCTGTGATCATTATCTCAAATTATTCGCCCCGTGCCAGTAATGTGAGAATCTTTTTTTTCCGCCAACTCATTTATGCCTACCTTAAAGGGGACCTATCATGCAAAATGCACTTTTGTACATCTTTTATACATGAATATGTGTCCCCGGTGTTCCAGGGAACTCACCAAGTGTCAGAAAACACAACCCTCTCTCTTTTCCTCTATACCCAAATCTCTAAAAACGGGGCTGCAACGGATCTGATAAAAACTGATCCAGATTGGAACATTTCTCTGACGTCAGGACGGAGGAGCTCCGCCTATATGGCCAACTCTCCACCTATCAGGGGAATGAGAGGTTGCCGTGGCATGGTAACAGCATGGTAACATGACGCTCGTAACTCGGCCCCCTCCTTTGCAGGGGGGCGTGGTCAGCTGCAGCGCATGCAAAGACAGGGCTGGAGGAGAGCAAAATAGAGCGAAATGAGGCATGGCTAAAATGCATGATCTGTTTGGTATTTTGAAAAAGAAAACGTATAAATATACCTTATATAGGTATGGTCCTACACTATATTATTCAAATATACAGGGTGCGTACGGGTGCTGGAAATCCTTGAAAATGCTTGAAATTGTACGAGGTGTTTTCGAAGAAAACGTATAAATATACCTTATATAGGTAAGCCAATCGTATCCCAAGAAGGCAGCTTACATCTTAATATAAGTAAATGTTGTTATGTTAATCCAGAAGTAAAAATACAGTGAGTTGTCTTATTAAGGTCAATAAATTGTTATTTTCTAAAGTTTTATTTCCTGCTGGTCATTATTTTCCCATGATACCACAGTACCTGCACACCTGCTCATTATCTTCCATAGTTTACCTGTCCTGCTGCAGTGCTCTGACATATTTCCTATGCTGCCTTCCTGACAAAATATGCCATTCTTTCTGTTACTTGATTACCTCTGCCTATTTATAAACTTTTTCCTGCTAACTTTTTTCCTCTTGGACGTGGCTCTTGTTTCCTTGCTGTTATTGTTGACCCAATTTCTTTATTTAAATTATACTTGTTCTGCTTGTGATTTTGAGCTTTTGAGGCCATATCTAAGCTGATGCTCTGTCTGTGACTGTACTGCTGCTGCGTTTTCAATGACATCTGCCTTAAACAAAGCCAAGTGCAATAGAATTTCTTGAAATAATACTTCAAAATGTCTTTCTAAGCACTTCCAATGAATTTAAAGTTACCAGCCCGTGTCATTGTTCGAGTAAGCCTCCCGAACAGGAAGCTAGGGGGATGTTGTGCTTCTGCCACTGTAAATTCAGCACCGGGGATTTGTCTGCTCGCTGCCTGAACTCTAGTTGACCCCGACACACTTCTCAGACTTTGTGCCGCATAAATTCTCTCTAAGCAATGCTGTCAATCAAAATAGCAGCGAGTGTAGTAAAACATCACAGGTCTCCTTCATGATTAATTCATGTCTAACACAGCACCTGTGGTGGCTCCGCTGACAATTTCACCGTTCCGTGATCTTTGAAATCGCTTATGTGTTTGTGCGCCTGTATGTGTGTGTGTGTGCCTACATGAGTGTGGTTCAGTGTGTGTGTGTGTGTTATGTGTGAGTTCAGGGTGTGAGGTTCATGCATAGTTAATGCCCCAGCAAACCCTCGTTAGCTATAGTGGTAACACACACTTTCTCCATCATTATACACTGTCTGTGCCATTATAAAACTGTCTCTGTCATTATACTGACTCTCTGCCATTACCGCTGCACAGACGGCTTCTTTTGCTGAGGAGCAACCATAGGGGAATGAGGGGGGAGGCAGCGAGGGGGGAGGTGAAGAGAGACGGCAGGGGGGAGGTAAGAGACGGGAGGAAAGTGTGAAATATTGGAAAGAAATGGCTGATGTTGTATAGCTAGACATGGAAACCGCTCTCTGCTGACCCATATGGGGGTGTGATTTATTTTTATTTGTTAAAATGTGTGTCTGGTATTCAGTCCTAAAGGGCATCTCACCACTGATTACCCCTTAATTAATGGGAAAGCTAACAAGAAAGGAAAACTTCAGATACAGTACAGTTTAATGAGGTCGAAAACAGGTTAAAAATGCTGGAGTGGAGCTGGGTGTCTTCAAATGCAGTCCACGAGGGAAAATAGGACAAAACAGCTCCAAATATTTAATTAAAGGTCCCCTATTATACTGTTTTTCATCAATATATTATAGGTCTCAGATATATACAAAACATGTCTCTGAAGTGGTTGGCTCCAAAGACCAAACAGATCATTGTCGCATCCCATAATCCCCTCTGTTTCAGCTCTGTTTCAAAAGTGCTGATTATCTGTCTGTTACTTCAGATGAAAATAAGGAGCCACTCCCCACGCCCCTCTGAGATATTTGGTTAAAAAGAACACAATGGTGCTCTAGGAGGAGATTCAGGAGATACAGTAAGGTGTATGATCAGCTCATTTTCAAACAGGTTTTTATGTAAATGGTTAGGACAAAAGGAGAGCAACTCTTTTTTCCTAAAAACTTTCAGATAGTCTTTACACAGAGGGGACACATGTTTATGTATATAAGACATGAAAAAGTGCATTTTGCATAATAGGTGACCTTTAAAGGAAGTTACCAATCACGTTTTCCAAGTGTTCACACAACGTTAGCAAGTCAGCAGGGTTTGGTAAGGTTTTTTTCAGCCAAACATTTCTTTTTTGGAGGCTTGCGTTATTCCAAGGTTCCTCTGTGTCAAAGCCATTACATCTATAGTTTGTAAAATGGGATTTGGAGCGCTTTGAAGTGGGTTTTGAGTCAAAACTAACTATAATCTGAGTATCACATTTCAGCTAGGTATAGGAACCTAAAAAGAAAAAGTGTCAGCAAGCCGATCTTCTGAATTCTCCTTTTCAATGTACTGTATGTGATCCCCAATAGCTGTAAACATTAAAATGTAACACTCACCCAAAATAATGATGGAGGTTGTTATTGTGGATCCATTTGAACACAATAGCAGCAGAGTAGGTGCACTTTTTTAAATAATAGCTAAATATGTCTAGCCTTAAGGCATACATGTAATGTCAAATTACTTAATTACATCATTGTGATGCCAACAAAGAAGAAGAGGAATAAAAAATAAAAATGCTGCAGCAAATTGATCCCACTGGCAGGTAATGGGGATAAAGATGTCAAGACAATGAGATATTCTCTGAAGAAAAGATCAACAGGAAAAAAGAAACCCGATTCCTTTTGGTCGGATGTTCCAGGAACAAACATTTCTATGACACTTAAATTGATGTCCTCATTTTCCCTGTGCTTTCCTAGACATGCAGACACCCTGCTGTGAGAGACGGCAAAGGAAACAAACAAGCACAACCCGAGAGCGCGCACACACACGCCGACCTACACCCAACCCCAACACAATGAATGGAGCATGAAAACCCCCCAAAAAACTATCTTTGTGTTGCTCACACACACACACACACACACACACACACACACGCACGCACGCACACACAGTGACTCACATCTTGGTTGCTCATGTCCCAGTAAGGCCTCTCTCCGTATGCCATCACCTCCCAGGTGACTATCCCGTAACTCCAGACATCTGAGGCCGACGTAAACTTTCTGTATGCGATGGCCTCCGGGGCCGTCCAGCGCACTGGGATTTTACCTCCCTGTGAGAGAAAGGAAAAAAGCGAGGGTAAGTGATGAGAAGTCTTGGAATGTAAAGCTCCACACTCATGACACAGTACTAAATAGAGGCCACAGGCAGCATGTATCTGCAACAATACATGTCATAAACCTCCAGGTGAGGACTAAATATGAACATTATGGTCATCGAGAAAAATACAGAGACATGTATGTGAATGCATACTGTTTTGAAACGCAAAGAGATAGCAAACAGTACTGAAAGAAAACTATAAATGAAGACAAAGCAGGTGTTTGAGCCTGGAGTAAGAAGGTTAACATACAACTTTCCCACTATTTTTTAATAAAGTGTGAAGACATTGTGCTGATCTAGAGTCAAAGAAAGGAAAGGTTTCTACAGGTTGGTTTTGGCTAGGCTTCACTCTCATTTATTGTACCAACTGTCACCTTGTGTGTAAAATTAAATGGTATATTTAAGATGAACAAAAATGTATTCATTAATTATTGCTACAATATCCTTGTCTTTCAGCTTCTGACTTACTTTCTACATTACCTGTCTAGCTCATTTACAATTTCATAATATAATAGTAACAATTATGACAAAGTTTGTGTTTTTTTGGTTTAATACTCAATCATGTCAGTTTTGTATTAAATCTTGCTGCATTTATACAATCACTGCGGTTTATTTTCAAAGAAAGGAATTTTAGCATCAGTGTATCACAAGGGCACATTTATTTCCCCCGTGTGAGTGTGTGGGTCCTCACCAGTGAGCTGGTGTAGGTCGGGTCAGAGGTGTCGTCCTCCAGATATCGTGATAATCCAAAGTCAGAGACCTTACACACCAAGTTGCTGTTCACCAGGATGTTCCGAGCAGCCAGGTCCCTGTGAACATAACTCATTTCCGCCAGGTACCTGGAACATCAAAAGGATTTATTGTTCCGATGTGTGTGTTATCCGTTGCCAGCTACCTGGGCTACTATAAAAAGCTAATGGGATTTAGTGTGTGTGCGTGTTTGTTATCACTGCCAGCCACCTTTGATAAAATAGGAAAGGGATTTTATGTCTGTGTACATGTACACGTTTGTGTGTTATCACAGCCAGATACCTGCAATAAAACACAGATAGGATCTAAAGTGCGTGCGTGTGTATGTGTGTGTGTGAGAGAGAGAGCAGTGTTTCAAGCTGAAAAGCCTGACAAGTATGTGTGTTTGTGTGTGTGTTTTTGTGTTTGTTTTTGTGTGTGAGAGAAAGACATATTTCAAGCTGCTGATGTCAGATTAAGTAGAACACATGCTCAGACAGCATTATATATTTTCACATGAAATCTCAATATGGTAGAATCGGTATTGTAACTTAAAAACCTTATTTTACATAATGATTGGAAATAGTTTCTTCTTCATCTTAACAATAGAAAATGTGTGTGTGTGTGTACCTCATTCCAGACGCGATGCCTCTCAGCATACCCACCAGCTGGATCACTGGGAACTGCCCATCATTTTGCTGTAAAACCATAAAGAGTGACAGGATTGTTTTTTTTGTTTCTTTTATCAGAATTTGTTCACATTAGTTATTTGAAGAACATCAAATTCATTTCAGTATTACACATAAGTCATGATAGGAGATTTAACCATTTCTGAAGGAATTAAAGCACCTCTTTCAAACCAGATGACAGTTTCATGTTACAAACATTTAAAAGTGGTTAATCTGAAGTCTTATTCAATAACAGAATGTGAGGTTATATCAGACATTTATTTTAAAAGCACCCCAAAGATTATCCAGCAGAATATGGAAAAACCAAGAGAAAGCGCACATATCTTCAGGAGCTGCAGGCTTGTTGTTGTTACGAGACATGTTGACGAAACCCAGAACCTTTTCAGCTATTTTACTCTTTTCACCCCATAGGCCAGACAGTGCCCGTCCCTTATAAACTTCACTGACATCCCTGCTGACATGGTTGCAGTAGAAGTGGTGTGTGTGATTGTGTGTGTGTGTGTCTTATAATTCACTTTGTGCATCAAACCGAGCTTTTGATGCTCCTCTAGCCTAATCCTCTGCAGAGAAAACCTTCTTCTAGGTACACGCACACACACACACACACACTGATCCTCTGGGTCTTGAGGCTGCACGATGGTCACGCAAGGACAGCAACACCATTGTGATCGATCAATGTGTGTGTGTGTGTGAATGAGTCAGCGGATGATTTCTGAGTCAAAAGGGGTCACGCTGTGAGAACCAAACATGAAAGAGTTTCTTTAGAAAGGAGGGAAGGATCAAAGGGACGGACACACTGACAGACAGACGTGCAGGAAGAGGAGGAAGGAGCTCAGGAAGGGAAAGAGAGGAGGGGGATTTACTGTCTTTTCTTGAAAAACTCCCATTCCTCCTCAACTTTGTTTCAGTTTGGGCGTTTAGGTGATTGCACTTTATGTGATTTTTGACCAAAGATAAATGTGCTCATAGATTCGGCAAGAACATTATATGAACACGTACAGTATTTAAGTGTTTCTTAACTATTTCACAAACATGATGTTCATGGTCACTTCATTATTCATACATATTTTCTTCAACACCTTTCATTTAAAATGACACCGATACAACCTTGTGTTGGAAAGAATGTAAAAGTGCTGTTTCATAACTCCCAAGCTCATTATGGTGCTTTCATTCGTACCATAAGACTACAAATGCTGATGAGGAACATTTGACAAAATGTAAAGGTCCAAAATAAGGTGGTAAATAGATATTTTAATGGCCGTTTTCAAATGTTTGATAAATAAATCCTACAAGTACTCTTTTACAAATCCAAGGCAGCACAGCAAGCTCAATTTGCTGATGAGGACTATGTGAAGCTCACAAATACTCAAATATAAGTCTGCTAGCTGTTTCCGAGATCAAGAATGAAATGTCAAACTCAACTGTTTTATAGACGTTTAGATCAAGTTTAGTACAATATTCATTCTTTTATTGGATGGACTTTCAAAAGCTTCTCTTAACATATATTTAAAAGAAGCTTTTTATCAATGTTATAGCATAAGCTATTGTTTTAAACATGTCTTATCTATTTCAAAAATAAATGTATATATTATGTATTTTTATTTATAATTTCTGATTAGATTTGCCTCATTGCATTCCCGATGTTTGTGATTTGTGGTTCAAGCAGGTAAAGCACTGTATTATTCAAGAAGCAGTGTAAAGTATCTGATATTTGCAGCTTTTAAAAAAAATACATCATGAATAAAGTATATGTTCAGTGTAGTGGTAGAGTCATTATTTCTGCCCTTCCTCTGCACAACATAAAAAAAAGAAATTAAGAAAATATATTTGTTTCAATACAACATAACATGCAGCAGTACACTGTTAAAATAGTTATATCTGTTTGTATCTGTGTGTACAGGTGTGTGTTTTTTACCCTGAGAAATGAATCAAGAGCTCCGTTTTCCATGAACTCTGTGATGATCATCGTGGGCCTGCTCTTGGTGACCACGCCCTCCAGTCTGATGATGTTCGGTTGGTCAAACTGGCCCATGATGGATGCTTCGGACAGGAAGTCCCTCCTCTGCCTCTCAGAGAAGCCGACCTTCAGGGTCTTTATGGCCACAGGAATCTCTTTCTTCCCGACCGGCTTCAGACGACCTTTGTACACCTCCCCAAACTCACCTGAGGAAAACAAAAAACATGAAATTAAAGTATCCTGTCTAAGAGCAAATTAAAAAAGGTACAGTATACACATACAGTTTATGACTGTTCAGATGTTCAAACCATTTAGTGACCATTCATTATTAAAATCCCCCTTCAATGAGACAAGAAGCAGCATATTGTCCTTTACCGCAGAGAGGTGTTAAACACATAAACACTCTGTGGTGGGAGCTGCCCTCTGCACGCTCAAACTGATCTGAGCAGCTTTGCTCGAGCAGATTGAGGTCGAGGGCTTTGCTCAAGGGGACATTGATGGTATTTTTGCAGACCAAAAGAACAACAGAGTTGAATCCCCTCAAAAGCTCGTCTCAGGGGTAAGAAAAGGTTTGTAGCAAAGGTGGCAAACAAGATAAAAGGGACAATGCCATTATAATTGCGAAGGTATTTGGCTTTGCACACCGCATCTGATCTGGGTTAAACAAAGGCAGCAAGCAACTGTAATGAAACACATTTTTACATACAACAAAGGTTAATCCGTGCCTGCAGTTTAATTTGTCAAAAGCATTTTCTACCCCTGTTCATGTGCCCTGAAACATCCATTTTATTTTGTTGTGGTCACATAGGATGCCATCTTTCTTGATAGCTATGCAGGTTAGTAGGCATTTGCTGCCTGATAAGTGAGCAGGAGTCAGATAGGACTATTATAATGTTTACTCTACAGTATTACAACCTTTCGTTATAATGATATCATCAGAGTTATTGACGACTCTAAGTTTGTGTTATTATTGATCAGAACTCGATCGTCAGACAATGTTTTCCTGTTTTTCCAAACGGTAACACTGGAAGGCTGACAATCATGAGCCGTCATTGTCATTAAAATACAGGGATAACGGTGGACATTTTCAGACCTTCATAGTATTGCAAACGGTTGTTAACTTTAAATGGAAAAGAGGAATGGCAATGAGAGAAGAGAAAGGGGAGTTCAAACCCTGGCTCAATTATCACCTCACCACAGTTGGATTGAAGTGGGTGTGAATTTCAGATAATTGGGCTCCAGAAGCTCCAGAAATAGTCAGGGTATCCCCCCTCCCCTACAATGTGATACTATAAAGCATCGCAATGAATGAAACATGTTCAAGGTGATGTTACCGTGATGTTACCCATTGGTTTGTGGACTACAATTTTGATGCCTCGACGGCTGTCGCCATGTTGGCTTTTCGGTACAAGAAATTACACATGAGAGCGGAGCAAATTACAACTGAAAGCTGAACATTTTAGGCAAACAAAATGTAACTTAAAGTGGACCTATCATGCTATATTTGAACAATATATTGTAGGGCCATACCTATATAAAACATGTCTGTGAAGTATTTTTTTCAAAATACCAAACAGATCATGCATTTTAGTCTGCCTCATTTCGCTCTATTTGCTCTTTTCCAGCCTTGTTTTTGCAAGGGCTGATTCTGCTTTTGTGGCAGACTACAGCGCCACTTACAGGCCTGGCATATGTACTACAGCGTCTCCAGCGCTTTCGAGCGGCAATGGCCGAGGCTGTGGCCCAACCCCCCATTCCCCTGATAGGTGGAGAGTTGCCCATATAGGCGGAGCTCCCTGTTTCTGACGTCAGAACAATTTCAAATCTGTATCAGCTCCGATGCAGCCCCGTTTTTAGAGATTTGGGTATGGAGGAAAAGAGAGAGGGTTGTGTTTTCTGACACTTGGTGAGTTCCCTGACACACCGGGGACACATATTCATGTATAAAAGACGTACAAAAGTGCATTTTGCATGATAGGTCCCCTTTAATTAGCTGAAAACACATATTGGAAGGGGTTAAAGTTGTAAGTCAAAAATACGAAAACAAAACAGCAACCTATCAATAAAAAAGTAAAGCCTTTGCTGCTTTATCATCTATTTTACTATAAACCAAACCATCATTTACAAAATGAACATCATTCTGTATTAATGCATACTTTAAACTAGCAATTTAGAACATCACTTTGTCACACAAATAATAACTGCAGTAACAGTTCAAGTAAGCAAAAGGGCAGTTTTCTCATAGACTTCCATACAATAGGACAATCGGAAATTGGAGTTGACCTCTGCTGGCAGTAAGAATGCCGATTTGAGCCACTTCACACTGGCTTTATGTTTCAGACCCCAGAGGTTGCCGCTTGGTTGGACGCATCAGTGCAATGTCCCAGAATGCATTATGTTCACAACAAACATCAAACAGTGTGGAGGGGAAACTGCCATGGTGTGAAAAATAATATTCTATTTCATGATACTTAGTTTTCCCCACATTTCCTTCCATAGTTTAGTTTTGTTGTGGACTGTTAAACTAAAAGCTCCAGGAGGTTATCTTCTTCGTGTCTCTTCCTTTATTGCTTTCTAATGCAATGATGTTGATCTGTAAATCGGTTGGTCATGGTTGGTTACCAAATATGAACTCTTCGACTCAGTGTGCAGAACATGTCCTACAGAGCTGGAGAAACAGATGTCTTTTGTCAAAATAAATGCAGCCATATGCTGCTTGGGGACATGAAAATTGAATATCGCTTCAAAATAAAAGTCCTCATCTCAGAGATATAAATCATGTGTGAATAATGGATGAGTGATGGGAATTGGATGACAGGCTGTGTCGTCCTGTCTCACTGTGATCTCTGCTCCACATCTCACCGCTCATTAAAACACAGCTGAAGAAGAGAGGGAAGGAGAATAGAACGAGAGTGTGTTGGGAATAAAGAAAGACTGAAGGATGGAAATCAGACAGTGTTGATAATATGGGAAAAGAGGGGAGGAAGAATGGAGAAATAGACGGAGGAATGAAAACAGCAAAAAGGAAAAGGCATGTTCAGGTGACATCTCACTTTCTTTTTCTTTGAAATAGATTCAATCGAGGAGAAGATGAGAATTAGAACAAATATTCCTGGGTTTTATTCCAAAATGTTGTCTTAAATCCACTGTATCTCAAGATACACTGTAATTAAATAAACAGGCCTGTCAGGTTATATATCATTGGTCCTCCATACATTCAAGTGTTTCAGGATTTAAATAAAGTGCTTTTTGATGAATCACAGTTCTTACAATGGGAGTGATCGTAATAAGGAGAGTGGAAGAGAGGGAGAGGAGGAGGGAGTGAGGTGAGTTATTTTTATCATCTCCTTAGGGTGATCTATTCTTTTATCTTCCCTCCGCAATGTGTTGTTCCCCCTTGGTTCTTTGTTTTAGCATTTCTCTATACGCAAACAAACTCTAAAACTCCAGAGGGGCTGAATTACACAGAGAGAGACGAAGATAAGAGGAAGTATCAAAGAAATAGAGAAAGAAAAACAAAAAGGAGACAGTCGGAGAGAGGAAGGAAGAGCTGCGGATACACTTTTACTTTCTATCGCAGCTGGATGGGAGAGATTCAACCGTTTAAGGGCTCAAAGTCCGACCACATTTCATATCACACAGGCTCATATTTTCCTCTCCCTCCCCGTCGTTCTCCTCCCTCCTCTGTCACCTCTGGCCGAGGTGAGAAACCTTTCCCTGAGAGAAATAAAGCGAGAAACGGAGGGATTACGGAAAGCCTCTCAGAGTGGCTCAACAGACCAAAGCTCTTACTCTCAGCGGTGAGGGTCTGAATCTGGTTGTGACCTTTACCAGCCCGAGCGCCATGGCCATTTGGGATTGGTTGATTTTGGGCCAAAGTAGAACAAAACAGTTATAAGGTAATTGGGGGATGACTTTACAGTTAACCCTGTAAGGCCCCCGGTTGTCATTTTACAACATTACTTTTAAGCTATCCTAAAAAAGTCGGCAAATGTTTTTTTTTTTTAAAAAGACAACATTTACATAGTCAAAAGGTCCTTTTGTTCAGCCTCACAATGCTATTGGGTATTAAATGTGTTTATAGGTCCTGCCCTCTGGCCATACACTCACACAACTTACGAATCTTCAAACGAGCAACATCTCTTTGTTTTATTGGACTGGATTTGTCAGATTCAAGTAAGTAAAATATCTTTTGCTGTCATTATTACAATGTCTAGAACATGTACATATTCAGTTTTTGTGGAATACATTCATCACATTTGATTTTGAGCAGCTTATGTCTTTGTTGCAATATTACATACCTGGGTCAGTGTGGTAGTCAAAAGGAGCATGTGCACCTGTCATGGAGATTGCCCTTCTTATATGTTCACATATGGAAATAAAACACAAATAGAAATATAATGTCTATTACGATAATTCACTATATAACTAAGTTCTAAATGTGTCCTCTGTTAAGATTTTGACTTAAGACCAGAATTGAATACATTAATACATTATTTCTGATAGCAGTATGTGAAATGATATCTCTAGCAATATTTTAAACTCTAGTTGTATCTTATCAGTTAATTAGTTACAAAAATAAATGTAACTCTTCTCTGGTTCTGGCAGAAACAGTTCTTTCTGAAATGTTTTGGGACACTTGGATGTATCCCTTTTAGTATGATAATTAGCCTATTATCATTAGCCAGACAGCATTGTGTGACTTGTTGAACTGGTTTACCTGCATGTGTCGGTGTAGGTATTCCTTTTATTATGATAATAGGCTAAGCCAGGTAGTATTGTGTGACTCAAGTGTACAATGTAAATAGGATTCAGATGCTTGTTGCATCGGGACACCTGGAAGGGGGTGGTGCATGCATTCCTTTTAGTGTGATAATAGGCTAAGCCAGACAGAATGAACACTTGTTCCACCACCCTGTCTATTCCTTAAGGTAATCTATTACAATATAATAAGCATGTATTATTGATACATATTTATTAATTAATGTTTCCATTTCAGAATGCCACCAGCAAAGAGAGGTCCTGGATTCAGTGTGCAAGTGATTTTGAGATGGAATCAGAGGACAGTGACACTGCTATGAGTGAATAAGAGGCAGATGCCTGTGGACAAGTGGACAAAGAAAACCAACAACCCAATTATGTGATTATGTGGACATCGAGCCCCAACCAAATAAATACACCAAGCCCTCGTGACAGATATCGCTGGCTGAAAAAACATTTTATCAGTCCCAATACTGATTTTTCTGGTCCAGATATCACAGAGGAAGTCATTTACAGGTACACAAACACGCAATGCAGCAAGTGTGACGTCCGTCTGTGCTTTCCCGACGACAGGAACTGTTTTTGGGACTACCATTGCATTACTATTTAATAAATGACTATTCATAACAAATATGACTGATGTGTGATTATTATGCATGCTATATACTGATATACTGTAGGGCTAAGTAAGCAATCAATCCTGCAAATTAACCCTTAGTTGTTCAATATATTTATTCAGACAATGCGAGTAGAAATACAGAAATTCTGCTCCCACCTAAGGCCAACGTTGCAATATTACAACATTTCTCTAAAAACTTACCAAAACGTAAAAAATTGGAAAACTCTTTCATTTCTGCTCCAGAGGCAACATCTGAAAGCTCAATATATATTCTATATTTTGGCTTTACAGGGTTCAATCCTACATCTATTATGGTTTAGGGTATGACTCATATATCCCTAATTATTCAAAATGATCTGCACAAGATCATGAACTATATACTTAATAGTAACTCGCTACAAAGTAACGCGTAACAGTAATCAGATCACATCTGTCTGTAACGCAGTAGTGTAACACGTTACTGTTGGTTCAGCAGTAATTACATTACAGCGACTACGCACAAAATTATCTCGTTACTTGCGTTACTTTTAATGTCTTCGACTATCTGCATAACGGGAGAACAGAACATTATATCAAATGTCCCTTTTCACATAGCAGAGATAAAACAGGCGCAGCAAACATCGTGGAGGAAATGTTGCCCGTTTCATTATTACATCCATGGTTTCCTCGGTGGACTTTCTGAAACATATCGAGCAAGAAATACGTAACGGGCAGCCGCCATCAGACAGGAAAACCTTTGCAAGCAACCTGGACCAGTGTTATGATGATGAAACTGAGCTAAAGAAAACACGGCTGATGTTCAAACAAAGAGCAGAGGTATTGTGTTGTCCTTATTAGATTAAGGATTTGTGCTGATTAATGTTACTAATTACTTTCAGCAGTGAGTAACTAAGTAAAGTAAGGGATTACTTTTTTCTAAAGTAACTAGTAGTGTGTAATGCGTTACTTTCTTTGAGTAACTGCCCCAACAATGATAATAACCTTTTTTAGGTAATTCAATTACACTCTATCTCTATCATGTTTAATACCTCGTTTGTGTCGACTTTCTTTCTGTATGCGAAAATGTCTGTGGTAATTTTATCTATTTAAAAAAAACAATGCAATACAAACTAGAATAATAATAGATTTGATTTTGAAACAAGGACAGGACTACAAGATTAGGTCCCAATGCAGGGAACCAGCTTAGTTAATATTTTAAATGAAGTCTTAAAAGTACTGACTGAGCCGTGGCCTTTAGGAGTCTGATGCCCTGAGGCAGTTCAGTGACTTTGCCCCTGTACTGAGTTGCATTGAGCTGCATGTTAAAGAGTTCAAAATGTAACATGGAGATTAATGATATATGGCCTATGACTTTAAGACCTTGAATATGTTATCACACATTTGATGCAAGAATCCACATTAAGTATTAATATCACCTACAGAGCTTAATGATATTCTCCAGTATTTTGTAATCCCAAGTTTCAAGGCACAATGCAATTTCATTATTGAAAAAAGGTTTTATCTGAGAAGTGTATGTTTATGTACCTGTAAAACTGATTGGATGGTGATGAGTGGATGCTCCCCTGGTTTAAATGGAGGCACACTGAATTTTGTGATCATATTTATGACCTTGTTTGGTGGGTTTTAGCATATGTTTACATATTTGTTCTTGATGTTTTATGCATTCTATTAAGTTTTTTATGAATGTTATGCTAAAAAGTGAGTGTGTTTAGCATCTAACTTGGACCCCTTGGAGACAATAAATCTTTAGTGAAATGATTGAAGATGTTGCATAGATTCAGTACGCAGGGATCAGTTGCTAAAATAAGGCTTTTGATCTTAGCAGCTGTAAAATGTGTCCTTATTTTTGGTTTCTTATTATCTCGGCCAAGGACATTATGTTGTTCTATTTGTTTGATAGCAGGGTTATAGAAAATCCTGCAGACCCGATCTTCATTAAACTTGGAAAGGGGAAGAATATGAAATGTTGCTTAAAATCGGAATCAATACGAGGATACACACATTATTTTTCACCTACGACCGCCGACCACCAAGCTTTCCGAGTGCCCTTCTTGTTTTCATCCTTTTTTCGATTTTCCAACCGAACAGCTAACACGGTGCTCCCTTAAAAACGGTTTCAGAGGATGCTCTGGGACTCCATTTCACATCCAACTTTTCTCCGTTTGCCGAACATCACACAGCATTTTTACAGTTCAGCTCAGAAAGCCAAAGAGAATGCACGAAGACCGTTTTAATTTATTCCTGTGAAAGTTTTCAGCATGAATAAAACATCTCTCCTGACTTCAAAGGAAAAAAATAAAGCAAAATAATAAATTGGAATAGCACTTTTTCTAGATCTTTCTCATTGACACAAACGCTGAATAAATTCATTCATTTACTGTAGAGAGTAACTGCTGTTTCAAGTGACAGTTGGTCTCATTAGAGGAAACCACGGTTTACTTTTCTAACGTTCCCTTCAAAGCGGTATGAATATGGACTGTATTTTTGTTCTCATTCTATCTTAAGCTGTGAACAAATAGAATGAAGGAACGGTAATATTTGACACACATTGAAATAATCATGGTTATCGAATCAGGGGTTTTGTTGAGTTTATCTTTTAACTCTAACAGGAACTACATGAGAGACAGAGTGGGTAAAAGACACTACATCTATGAAAGTGTCTACCTGATCCGATGACTTCCTCTATTTTGACACAGGAGGGGTCGATTTCCTTGGCGAACTCCCTTACTGCCTCGTTGGGGTCCTCATAGGTGAAGGGGTCAATGTAGATCTTGACCCCCGGTGAACTATGACCGTCAGACATTGTGGGAAAGGTCACAGTGGGTGTTGGCCCGCTGAACATGTCCGGCCTCATTGTCACCTCTGAGGAGAAAATAAGTAAGTCAAAGAGAGTGAAAATATAAATGCTGTTTTGGAAGTTGGTGTGTAAGCATTTTTAAAGCTGGAGCTCATTAAAGTGTCAGCACTGGTCGTACCTCCTCCTGCGTTGTACTGCTGCAGCTTGTCACCGTACACACTCTCCTTCAACTGCCTCCTCCTGCACACAGGAATAACACAGAGCGGTTTGGGGGGATTGAGAAGAAAATGTTGCAAAAAAGTTAGAAAAGTTAGAAATATAATTGGTTGTCTTCTCTTCAGCTGAGATGGGGTTAAAAATAAAGTCTTCCTTTATGTCAAAAATAAATCTGCTTAAGACAAGGAAAATGACTTTTAGGAATGCATTAGTATTTGGTTGCTTGTTACTGTTCTGTGTTGTCAGCTTTGGTCCCGTGCTTTCATACGAGGATGGAACCAAAGAAATGCACTGTTTTTTTTTTGTATGTGTCAACTTCACAATAGACACGCACAAGAAGACAGAGACAGCCTTTCACTAGCTGTTGGCGGCAGGTCATGGGGTCACAGAAACTTTGTAGCATTTTTTGAAATTCCTGATCTACTTTGAAACCATTGGGGAATAAAAAATAACCTATTTAAATGCAAAAGCCTTACATTTAGAATTGTGTTTTCTACGAATCATAAACAAATTGACATTTTTTAAAAGGAAGCTAAGGAATACTTTTTCCTACATATGCCATTTCATATGCATTACCGTATACATTTTAAGATAAATCTACTATAACAGTCCTATTTAATGAGTACATGTACAGCATGCAGCTGGATGTAAATCTAGTTTATGAATACTTATGAATAAATAAATAAAATAAATGTTGTTTACTGTAACAAAAAGCTGACCAAATACACCAGACAAAACCCAATACATGACTAATGTCATTCTTGACTTTGGGAAAAAGTATTTATAAATATAATACAATTCTAAACTCAAGTTACATTTACTACCCGTCAACCTGATCATGTGGCTCAGTCATTATCCCATGACAACATTTATAATATAATATTCTAATAAGGAATTCTCCTCACAATCTTAAATTAACTTGGTTAGCATTCCAATTTAGCTGCTACTGCTTCAGGGTCCTGTAGCTGTGCATGCTTGGTCTCTGTCACGCTGTAATGGCTTTTCCTACTCGGCAATCAACATGTTTTCTGTCCAAAAGGGCCAATAAATGGTTGGGATACTGAGTGTTTACACTTTTAATAGTCTGGTCGTCACCATTATTTTTTCAATGATTTGTTTTTCACACATTAAAAACTTTTTTTAAATATTGCTATTAAATCCAATCACGTCAAAACATATTTAATACCTTGCTCACGGACATTTTGATTGAACAATTACAATTATGTAAAGTATGTAACAGGCAAACACGTGAATGCAGCATGTGTATCTGTGTGTGTTTGGGTGAACAGTATGTAGGTGTGTGTGTGTGTGTGTGTGTGTGTGTGTGTGTGTGTGTGTGTGTGTGTGTGTGTGTTACCTGGTACAGATGATGCCAATAGCAACCAATGATACGATACACACTCCACCAACTAAAGAGCCTGCAATCAGAGAGAGCTGCTGTCCAAGCTCTGACTTATACTCATCTACAAAAAAAAAACACACACACATTGAAAATATCATTTTTTATATTTTTGAAAAATACAGTTTCCCTTGCTAACACATAATTTACAAGGCTTGTTTTAAAAGCCACACACACGAGCATAATGTAATTACTTCACAGGGAGATACTGCTCTTGCTAAACGTCTCACATCCCCCTCTCAGTGCTCCTCTCTGTTTTCTCTCCGCCACAAAACCCCCAGTGACACACACACACTCCAGCCACCCACCCACCCACTTACCGTCGGTGAGCGTTTGGAAGAGCATCTCCTTGCTGTAGGCACCATATCCAGCCACAGTGCGGGCCTTCACCTTGACCACGTATCCGGTCCCTGGCCTCAGACCCTCCAGAACCACATTGGGAATCTTGCTCTGGACCATTGAACTGTTCAGCGATGAGGACAGGGACTGAAAGGAAGCATTGAAAGAGATGAATATGTTTCACAGCGAGACGGCAGACAATAACACTTCTACAGTCACAGATCCAGTTCCAATCTGTTCGTTTGTCATTCTGAGAATGGCTGGTATACATACAAATACTAAATACATTTTTCTATCACTATTGTAGAAAATATTTGTATGTGTACCAGCCATTTTGTATGTGTACCAGCCATTTTCTGTGTGACAAACCAACAGTAAAAAAATGTTGGTCCAAATTGAGATGGAAAGATAATGGAGGTGAATCCAATTTTGTTTTTCTCAAATATTTTTTCCAGAAGCATTGTCCAAGAGTTATCCACATTCCCTTAGAATAAATGTGTTTTGTTGGAACTACTTTCTACTGAAAGAAAATCTCTACACAAAATTGAAAAGCTTTTTGTGTCCTCGCTGCTTTATAGTTTCAACTCTCCACCACGTCCAGGCGAGCATCATTGATGGGTATGATCAGATGTTTGTAACCACACACACAACAGACATGGTGTACTGACACAGCCAGGAGTATACTCCTGTACCACAGCAGTAAGGTGACAAGTAAACCCACTTAATGAAAAAAGCAAGAGTGCTTTTTCACCTGCTGTTATTGGCTCTTTATAGGGAAGTAGTACCTAGCCATGTCTCCAAGTGTAATTCAATAAAAGCTCAACAGCAAATTGAGCAGACCCCAGACTCTAGAAAATCCACAGTCTTAGATGTAAACAGATGGGATTGGAAGTAGTGTGTTCTGAATAAATTGTCCCTATGAAAACTGGTGATAGTAAGTTCTACAGAGTTACTGGGTCATTGTTTCTGGGAAGACACATTGCCATTACTTTTTACTTTGTTCAGAGTTTTGTGCACCACAAACAAAATTCCATTTACTCCATTTAGCCAGAGTGGTGACAGAGGAAAAGACAAAAGGGCATAATGCAAAGCCCCGGCACATACTGTACAACCTAAACTATTTGAAATGCAAGACACCAGTATAAAAAAAAAGGTTTTCTTTCAGTCATTTTGTCCAGATTAACCTTCCCCATATTTTCTAAAAGAATGTTCTTTGACCAGTTCTTTCATCCATCTCCTTCAAATAACTGAGTGATAATGCAGTTAATTAGTTTTTGTCCACAGAGAAAGATCTACCGAGCATCTGGGCCTCTTGCTGCTCCTGAGGTGAATCAGGCTAAACTACAACCTTTTACCTCTATATTTCTACGCTGTCCTTCTATGCTTCCTCTCCCCCATTTCTTTAAGATAAGAAGGGTTTTTACTGCGGCAATATCGAAACGGTCCAGAGGGAACGACAGATATGGTGTGGGGAAGGCTTGAAAGGACGGGGGAGGGATCCATGCTGTGAGGTTGAAGGAGGTGGAGGGGTGGACAGCAGAGCGAAGAGGAGAGGAACAGAGATGAGGAGGGTGATGAGGAGAACAGTTCAGGAGGGAGGGAAGGAGGTGTAAGGGTGGAAAAAGGGGGTTATCAAAGGAGGGCATGCACATGAATACAAATGGGTTAATCATGAGTGTCTTTTTATTAATGTTATTAATGTTATCATTGTAAATCTTAATTATATCCCCCTTGATCTTCTTGAACCCCTATATATATGTTGTTGCTGGCTATCTTTATTGGCACTTTAAAGAAATAAGATGTTTTATGTGATGTACTAGTGTGATTCCTGTGTACACAAAGTACTTTGGTGTACTGTATCTAACATCAATAGGCTATCATCTTATTTTATCTTTATATTTAATCCTTTATCTGTTTTTTTTACTGCACATATTTTATTTCATTCTATTTCAATGTAAATAATGCTTTATTTTTTCTTATTTTTTAATGTCATTATAGTTTTCTTAAAATAGTTCTCTATCTGTGTTTTTTAAATGTTTGTTTTACTTTTATGTATGCACCACGACGCCAAGTCAAATTCCTCGAACGTGTCAACCTACCTGGTAATAAACCCGTTTCTGATTCTGATTCTGAATTGCTAAACTTTTTAAATACTGTAGAAAAACTGGCCAGAGTCTTCTGTCCAAATGAGGACACAACACATGGACAGCTACAGAATGAGCTGGGAGAAAATAATAGAGTTATACCTGGAAAAAATGGGGGTAGTGTGTTGTGGTGGGGCTTGGATTTGAAGGTGTGTGTGTGTGTGTGTGCAGTGGGGTGGAGGGGGGCTCTATGCTTGCTAGTGAGAAGGTTAGGGGGCAACCCATCTGGGAAGGTCTGGAAGCCAGAGATAAGTATTGAGGGAAAATCCTGCCTTCCTGTGCCATATCAAATTTACAACATTAAAACCTCATTATCTAAAGAGTCACTATGAGGGGAGGGAGGGGAGGGGAGGGGAGGGGAGGGGAGGGGAGGGAGGGGAGGGGAGGCAGGTGGAGAAATGGCGGTACAGTTCAGCTGTCTGGTAAAAAAACCTGTCCTCTCTCCAGGCTTATCAAACCGCTCCCCGAGGACTTCTTCATTTGAGCTAAAATGAGTCGCTTAATTTGGTTGGCTTGTCTTCAGTGAAACATGTAGCATTCCTCCCTTCTTATGATGTATATCAGGGAAGAAGAATGAAAAGGAGAAACAATGAAAGAACTCATAATGGCCAGCTTCTGATTCTTGGTCTTGATTGGCTTCCATGTTAAATAATGTTAAAGCACAGGCAGCACTATATAAGGCCGACTTAGAGTAAAGCCGTTGCCCTGATTTTGACAAAGAAAGTTTTTATCAGTGACAGTCAGACTGCAGCGACAGAGCATGTCTCAGCGAGTGCAGCTCTTCACACTCTGTCCTCTACTCTAACTCTAACTCACTATAATTGCTCTCCGAGCTGCATGATTCTCAACTCTCTCCTTCTGCTTTTCTCCATCCTTTCCTGGAACTTTGCTTATAACCAAACTATGGTTTTTTTTGTCTCTTGGTAGGATTCACATTACATTACGAGAGGGAGAAAATAAAAATAGTTTAAAGGAGAGGTGTCATGCTTTTCTGGTTATTACCCGTCCCCTTGTGTGTTATGAAGGTTTTTCTGCATGTAAATGGTGTGCAGAGTCAAAACCCTCAAAGTACACCCTATAGCGAGTAAAACTCTAACACAGAAAATACCTCCCCAAAATGCCTCGTTGGAGATACGTCATTGTCCATTTGATTCTTCCGGGTACGGCATGATTTCAAGCCGTACCCGGAACGAAATGGACCAATCCGTGGAGCAGTTACGTTACGTCAGCGGAGCCGTTACGTTAAGCCCCCGCTGATTGGTCCAAATTGACCAATCCACGGACTTCCTCACACACACACATCTGTGTGCAGGGAGCAGGCAGCTCAGCTGATTTCTCCTCCCTGGCTGCAGGCTGATAACAGACAGTTGGGATCGGGGCAAAATTCTCTCTGCAGACCCATTCTCACAGCGTTTATCAACCTTTTTCTTACTCAATATCAAGCCACACTTATTGTTTTTACTTCGGCTGTGAGTTTGTGTGTGCTGAGGATGAGTTTGGCTGTGTTTGGCTGTGTATCCTAAACAAGGAAACAACACCTCCACGGAGCTCAGCGCGATTCACAACGTCCCGACCAATCAGAGCACACTGTGCTCACAGGGAGGGTGGGGGCTGGAGCTATTGGAGCTACAACGAGCCGTTAAAGGCAGAGAGTGAAATTCAGTGAATATACGTAGTTTACAGAGATGCTGTATGAGAAACCAATGTGAGTTTGGAATATTGCACAATATAAATCTATTCTAGTAGACCTCAACAATGGAATTATGATCAGTGGAAATGGCCATGACACCTCTCCTTTAAGCACTTCACCAAACAAGAGCGCTGCTGTTTATATGCTGTTGACAGTCAACACTTTATATTTGAACTACAGTTCAAGGGCTCTGCAGAGTTGAATCTGCAGTGTTTTCCCATGAACATAAAAACACGTTTTGATAATGGCATTCACGCATTTCACAGCAAAATATATTTTGTAATCCTATTTCATGAATAAAAAGAGGAATGAGGAAAGATACAACTCAGCTTTCATTATACAAAACCTTTGACAGTGAATCTGAGTTGACTATTTTAGTAGCATTTCAAAATGTGTGAGTAAGATAGGAATACAATGTTTTTGAATATATACCAAAAATATTATATTCGTACTTTATGCATATACCAGCATACATCAATGTTTATGTTATTAACCCTCCTCTTATTGTAAAGCGACTTTGAGTCTATGAAAAGCGCTAAAGAAATACAATTTATTATTATTTCATTTAAAGTTGAACAATTATCAAAAGCATAAAAAAAAACATAAATGCAAAAGAGTATAATAATTAACATTAGAATAAGAATGTATATAGTAATGAACAGTTGTGTGCAAAACAATTGGACTCTATGACTTTGGAGGGTTTTAACCGGAAAAATAGATTTAAAAAAAAGCCAGCTGCGAATACTCTTGAGCCTTTACAGTTTGTAGTTATGATGTTATCTCAGTATTTGATCGAGTTATGGAGGCACCAACTCACTGTCAGTATGTATAAGAAAGAAAGGAAGAAAGAAAGGCAGAGACTAGCAGTGGTATCCCAAAGAAAAATGCCAAAAACAATTTTCTTCTCTTTAAAAAAAAAAAGGAGATAAATGGCAGGAAATCAAATGTGGGCTGTGGATGAGGCGGCATGTTGTTCTTTCTGGTGTACAGTATCTCACACAAACACTTGTAGGTGCTTTGCACTTTGTTTTTAATCTGTTTGCAGTGAAAGTCTATCTGTTTTCGCAGCCGTTGGCTCTGCTTCTGAAAAGATTTGCTCAGCTTCGGGTGACAGATACGCTTTTAATTTAACTTTCAAGCTCCAAAAACATTGCTTTCCACTGACACAATTACAAAGAAGACAAGATATGCAGTCCCGGTTTGTCCCCTCTATGGAGTTCTTTTTATGTCCCGGAGCAGCAGTCTTTGAGGAGAAAGCAATCAGCTCCTTCACGTTTCACCCCTGAATCTGAGGCACTTATTGGTGACCTGGA